TGTCTAACTTTCTCTGTCTCTTCACCCTGGTGCCAAAAGCTACCCAGATATTGCGCATAAGCCTTTTAAGACTTAGACACACAGCCATATTTTGTGTTTTTAAACAGTTATCTGTTTCCGATATGCCATTCACCTCTGTGGTTCACACACAGGGAAACCAACTGTGTGGCAGTGCCATTTCACATAATTTGACCTTTAAGGTAGGAGGAATCTGTATCTGTCTCAGAGATGATAATGTCCCTGTAACATAGATATATACTGTAGCTTTGCTGTTTCAGAAGTTTTAACTTAATAATAGTGCAATGCTAAGTTGAAAGAATCAAACAAAAAAACATTTACTTTTGAGTAAAGAAATACGACTACTCCAACTGACTCAAAGCAACATTTTAAGCTGGAGCATAGGTTTTTAAAAGACAGCGGTTGCAATTTTAATTATGAGATGTTATAAAAGACATTTCATTATTCTGAAGCTTGGGGAAGGTCAGACTTTCGAGTTTGGATAGTGTTAGTGTAGTTATTGCTTTCTCACCATTTATGGTATTGTGCCTCTCTTCAGAGTTTCAACATAACCTGCTCTGAATCTCTCATGCATTAGTAATAAAGTCTAACTTGTGTAATTCAGTTTAAAATGAACAGGCTTTTTTTATGTAGCAGAACATAAAACTTTGCGCAAAGTACTGAACAATAATATGGAACATTTCTACCTTAACACAAAGCGTTTGTGTCTGTTCATTGAGTGTACGACCTAGCGTCAAGGATGTTCCTTGCCAGGTGAATAAAGAGATGTTTCTTTAATGTTTGGTTCAGTTTTCACCTGCTTGTGCTATTTGTTCATCCAGAATTTTTATCACAGGGGATGGACTGGGTTTGAAATGGACATTTGGAGCTTTAGAAACATGTTGTGCCCACCACTATCTGTTTAAAGTGGTCAACCTCCTCTGGAAATCAAAGGTTTTTTTTTTTTTTTAAATCCTCTCTGGTGAGGGTCATCTTTGTGTCACCTCCTATAGAAAAGCTTTTGTGTTCTGTCTCCATGCATTTCCTCTCCTCTTTTCATTTTGCCTTCATCCTGCTGGACGAAGATCCTGGATATTTGTTAATATAAGTCTACAATAGGTGCGCTTATGCCAGCAGTCATTTATTAGACAAGGTGTTTCATTAGGATTTTTTTTTTTTTGTATATTTGTATATTTTGAATGGATTGGTTCAAAAAAAGTATTGTAAAGTGTTGATCTCATAGATAAACAGAAAGAATCTCATAATTACAAGATACAGATCCAGCAATTATGAGTTTGTTTTCCTATAATTATGCCATACTAAGTCACAACTATGAGATACTGAGGTCTCCATTTTTGTTTTACTTGGTAAATGCAGTGTGCTGGTGTATATTATCCCTGTTCCTATCCTATCCTGTCCTAATAAGGTATTGATTTTAGATACAGTTAAGTGGTAGCAAAACTTCAGCTGGAAGTACAATTCAGCAAACTCGACCAGTGGCTCTGGCCCAAATGCTTTCAAGGATTACGAGGATAATCGCCTGGCCAGCCTGGGTGTATTCTTGGAGATTTTATGTGTGTGATGAGAGGTGGAATGTTTCTCTACACCTTCTCTACATGCCACATCCACTGTAATGATCTGAAAGCATTTTGCTGGTTTCTCTGATGTATTTGAATGAATTATGTCTCTCTGTAGCGTAGCAATTATTTGGTTTTATTAGCAGGTCAGGAGGAATGTTTTGGCGAGGATAAATGGTATTTTACATGTGTCTGGGTCAGTGTGACGGGCTTTTGTTGTGAGGGTAAACTGACACCTATAAAGGCAAATACTGGTGTTGGAAAAAATGTCAACTGGGTAAGACAAGGGTAAGGTCAAGGTGGTGTGTGTGTGCTGGTGTAGAGATACTGAGGAATAGAGAGGACATAAATCATTGCTAAATATGTAAGTAATTAGAAGCAGTTGTTTTTCTTTTGTAGAGCTTGTCTTTGTTAAATTTCTGAAGTCTATTGCCTGCCCAGTCCGTGTCAACTTAAATACTGATGTTTGAGGCTTTGGCAGGTTTAGTTTTCACTAACTGTGTGAAAATGTGTTTCGTATGTTTTATGTGTTAATTTGTTTTGCTGCAGCATGTAGGTATGTATTTCTTTAAAGTGACTTTGTGTGCCACATTTTGGGCGATTCTCTTCCCTCTCTCTGAGTTGGACAGCAAAGTTAACGGCACCTCCTCAGTTGTTGGCTGATTAGCTGGTCTTGCCTTATTGCCTTACAGACGTTAGCTCAGGCTGTAAACGGCTAACGTTGTTCCTCAAATTTTTTGTATTACCAAAGTATTTAATTTTAATGGGGCATATTTTACACCAAGTGTGCGTCTTGTCCAGTTCATTTCCCAGTAAGTTCATAATAACGTTCGCCTATAATTCAATGCAAGAGGGCGACGTTGCAAAGTAATAATGTGACTTGTTATTGTCACATTTTTTCAAACACAAATGGTAAAACAAACATTTTCATGTTCCAACTTCTCAAATGGGAGGATTTGCTGTTGTTTGACGATGCCACTTTGGGCTCTGTGTGGTTGTGATGGATGTTTTTTTACATTTCATAGACCAAACCATTGAACAGAAAAATAAACAGATAAATCGATAATGAAAATAATTGCTAGTCACAGCACTAGAAGAAACCGAGACATCATATTAATTAATTCATTCATTGGGTTATCTAACATATTCTCGTTGGCAGTATTGAGCTGCAATGCAGTGGATGTCTCATTTTGGCATTTAATCTTTGTGTCATCACCTCCTTCACTGTATAAGTATACACAGTTATAGTTATTTAAGTACAAAGAAAAACTCTACTGCAGACCACTGGGAATTAGTCATATTCATGTGAACTATAAATGGGAGTGGTTTAAGTGCTTTTCTTGACCTCGTTTCCTTTATAGCACAATTTACTGTACTGCCAAAAAGGAAGTAGGTAGGTCAGTAATAGGCTGCCATCCTTCAACTCAATATTGGTGTTTCTTCTTTTCTTCTTTCTTTCTTTTTTTTCTCTTCCCCTCAGTCGTCATTGTACATTGTGTTGCCTGCCAGCATTGAAGACCCATTGACAGGAGATGTGGTGGGGAATCATACTGGAGGGGAAGTCTCAAGGATTTCAAGAGCACATATTGTTTACATGGCCATAACTGCTAAAAATACAAATCAGAACGTTCTTAGACTGGAGTGTGACATTTGTTTTTACTTGTTAATTATCAAAAAAAATCAGTATATACTGTACAAATATGCCATGTTTATGTATTAACTCTGGTGAAATCAAAGATAATATTTTGACGAAGATAACAACCCTGCTAGCTGCTGCTGTGACAAATAACAGCATGTTTTCGAATTAAGTTGGAGGGAATGTTATATAGACAGATTGCTCATATACTGTAGCTGATTTTATTTTGTGACACCTTTTCTGAACAAAGTTATGCAGTAGCTAGCAATTAAGTGAAGGTCACTGCTGAAAATGTTTCAAATGTGTAATAATATCTGCTCTGTGCATACAAGGTAACTTGCTTTATCCAGCATGAATTTATACTGTACAGTGTAGGGCTACTATTAACAGTTATTTCCTGTATTACTTTCAGTATTCTAATCTGTTAATTATATTTTATAGTTATTGTTTAGTTGATACATTTTCGTCACCAGTGCCGTTAACCAGTGCCCAAAGTGTTGTCCTCAAATTGCTTGTCTTGTCAGACCCAACAGTCTTGAACCCAAAGACATTCACCATGCACTCATATAAAACAGAAAAGCAATAAATCCTGACATTTGAGATGTTT